AGTAAACATGGGCACGAACACACTTTAGTTAGTGAGGGGTATATCTTGGCCTCCCCCATGCTTTAGGAAAATTGACTTATGAATATGCAGAACTCAAAGATGCTTTATGCAAAATAGACCTTGTAACCTATCATTCAAGAGCCTGTGATCCTTTGAATGTGTATATTCTACTTTTGTGCATGTATCTTTCTTGTATGTGAAGTCAGAAATATTAAGTGGGAACCTGTTTTATTAATCCAAGTATTCTAGTAGAAGCCATTAGTGATACTTTAGGAACTTAATGGCTGTGTGATTAGGGAACTTGATGGCTCCGTGCTCTGGGGATGGGGAGGCTGGGGAAGTGTGATCTCCTCCCTCCCCATTTTCCCGGGTCGGGGAGGCTGGGGACTCGAGTCGTCCTCCTTTCCTGTGCTCGCGGCCGGGGAGCCTGGACATGCATGCCCGCCTGCTCTCCTCCCACTCCCTATGGTGGGGTGCATGTTGGTGAGCTGCCCCATCTCCCTATGGTGAGACCTTAGCCAAAGGGACGGGGTTTGGGGCGTGCCTCCCCCAGCCCTACCTTCTCAGGCTGCCCCCAATGTTTCACTGAAATCGCACAGACTGGCAGACTTTAAGGACAGAAGCAAATCCCGTGATCATCCAATCTGAGCTCCCACATGCTTGCAGTAAGTCCTTTGCCTGTGATTGAAAGGTACCACACAATAGCGATGGACTGTGGTGCACGCTGTGAAATACTGCACGGGGGACTATGGGCCCCTCGATGCCATATGGTGCTTCCTGGTGCCTAGTCTGCTGCACAGGCTTAGGCAGTGGCATTAAGCGATGCATCAGTCACACACTGTCATCCCGCCCGACAGCCCAGCCTCCGCATCCCCCGCCCCTCCCCCGCCTTCTTCATTGAGGACTTTGCTAGTCCCTGGTCACGTGAAAGGAGCTTCTTGGAGCTGGGCGGTGATGTCACATCCTCTCGTGGGCCAATGGCAGGGTCTGTTTATGTCGGGCCTAGTTTCATATTCATAACGGAGACCTGCGGAGCCCCCGGCTCTGCTGCAGCTGGCGGCCGCTGCGCGAGGGGGGAAGGAGCCCGCGCGGGCTGGCGCGTTCGCAGCAGGAACCCCCCAGACTGCC